CCGCCATTTAGATATGTTCTCTTTATTAGCAATAGCATGACGCTACTTGTGCTAACAACTCCGATTTTGCAAAGCTTCGTGTAGCTGGTATAAAACCACCACTTTCAGCGGCGACGACACAATTTAGGGCCAGCTCCATTCTTTGAAAATCCTTACAAATTTCTAGATTAAATTTTCATATTTAAGTGGACAGCTCGAATGGCGGAGACTTGCTCTTTAAGCCTAGTTGCTGCCTTTGCCATGGTGCTATGACCGCTCATTCTTCAATGGGCCGTGGCAAAGCCCTCACCGACCAAGAGTACTGGTGGATTATAGGCCTACACGACGCGGGCACGTCGTTGCACGAGATTTCAAGGAAGAGCGGCCGTTCGCGCATGTCTGTACGGAAGGCGATCAGAGAAGAACGAGGTCCCTTGACGGACGAAGTCAAGAAGCAAGGAGGACTTGGTCGACGCCCAGCACTTACGGAGAGGGAGGTCCGACGGCTAGTGCGTGCAGCGGCTGCTGGTGATCAGTTCGCAGCCAAGCTGAAGACAAGGCTTGGCCTCAAATCGTCGGTAAGAACAGTGCAGAGAGTGATGCAGCGTGTGGACCATCTTGTCTACACCAAGATGGAGCGCACGCTACCTCTCACTGCCGCCCACAAGGCCGCACGTATGACCTGGGCTGAAGAGCACATACTTAATCCGGCTACGTTTGTTTGGAATTTAATTTTTTACGGATGCTAACTGTTTTTGTATTATTTAGGTATTTGGCAAAATACTGTTTTTAAGATGAAAAAAAGTTTAACCTTGACGGTCCTGATGGCTACAAGTATTACTGGCGTGACTTAAGGCAGCCTCCTCAAACGTACCTTCGTCGCCAAAATGGGGGAGGTAGTGTGATAGTTTGGGGCGCGTTTAGTGCGCAAGGCAAGAGCAAGTTTGCCATTTTGAGAGGACGACAATGTTCTAGCAACTACATCTATACTATTTCCGAGTATATGCTGCTGTTTGCCCGCTCTAACCATGGCACTGACTTTGTCGTTCAGCAAGACAATGCGTCAATCCACGCCTCGCGCGAGACGACGGGGTTCTTGCTTGACCTTGAAATCGACACCATGGTATGGCCAGCACGCTCGCCGGATTGTAACCCGATCGAAAACGTGTGGTCGGTGCTAGCGGCGCGGGTGTATGCTCACTGCCGCCATTACAGCTCTGTGGATCAATTGGAAGCCACAATTCTATCTGCTTGGGACTCCATCGAGCATGAGTACTTGCTGAAGCTCGTATAATCCATGCTTCGCCGGTGCCTAGATGTAATCAAGCAGAAAGCCAGTCTCACTAAGTACTAATTTTTAATATAGAAATTCGTATGAGATCGCATAGAAAGTGTTTATTTTTCCAAAGAAAGGGGCTGTTCCTAAATTGTGTCGTCGCCTCTGAAAGTGGTGGTTTGTATACCAGCTACACGAAGCTTTGCGAAATCGGAGTTGTTAGCACAAGTAGCGTCATGCTATTGCTAATAAAGAGAACATATCTAAATGGCGGCCGGTAATTCCAAGTAGAAGCTGAGATATTGGCCAAAGTATACCCCCGATTAGGGGGTCCTATCATTTTGGCGCGCACAGTAAGTATAGATAGACTAGTACAGGAGCATCCCGGTAAACGGGTTGCTTGGGGGGCGACATAAACCGGTATTGCTTCCAGTTTACGACGCCCCCCTTTGCGCCCTTTCGAAGTGCCTGATGTCAATACAAACATTAAGTCATTTGCACCGAATCATTCGACAAAAGGAGATACGGCCATCACTTGCGTCGCGCTAGCAAAAGTGGAGAACTGATGCCTGGTGAGCAGTGCGCGATCGCCTTAAGGAGAGACTGATGCTAACTGCTAGGCTTGTACAGGTTTTTGGGTTTTGTGGCAGTGCAAGTTCTCGCGTGAATGCGAGGGTGAGCCAGCAGCTAAACGTAAAGGGGAGCTACACACCATGTGCGAGACCCACCTCCGACAAGCTCCCAAGAAGAAAAAGAATCGTCGTGCTCTGAAACTTGCTAGTCCACTACCACAGCATACTCTGGCGGCGTTGGTCCAAGGAATTAGTGTGACAGCGCCAAGTTCAAGAGAAACCACTGATCTCAAGCTATGCAAACACCCCAGTAAATGTTCGGAAGAGAGGACGGTGAAGAAAAATGGGGAGGTTCATTGGCTTTGCGAGCGACATCGTCAGCTGAAGAATGCTGAGCAGCGCCAGCGATATGATCGTCAAAAGAGATTTGCTAGTTCACGCAAAACTGGGGAGGATCAAGCGCGTGATGTTAATTCTCTTGCGCACGCAGCAACATCTTCATCTTCAAGCCAGGCTATGGAACCCGAAACTTCACTATGTGAAAGTGAAACTCCGACGGCTTCTCAGGGCACGAACATGGATACTACCAAATCTGGCAGCCACTTGAAGAATCAACAATGCGACCACAGGAGCGAGTGCGCTCGTCCTCGTGCTCTAAAAAAGAATGGCAATCGTCATTGGCTGTGTGAGTATTACCGTCAGCAACAAAACGCTTTGCAACGTCGTCGGCGACGACAACTGTCAGCGATCCGTCACCAGGTAAAGACCCGAGTCGAATCCGCAGGGGAAACCACCTCAAATTCATCCGGACGACGCTTGAATCTCACAATCAAGCTGAATCCGTGGGTTTTCATAATCTTGCAACAACTAAGCCTTTTCTGAGCGTTCTGAAGGCTCAAGGAGACGAAGTTGTCCGACGAATTCAAGTTGATGAGCTATTTTTCGAGAAATTTGATGAAATGTGGGCAGTGCATGTACAGAAGTTAGCGTAACGATAATAAAAAGAGATTGATAGTATAAATTCATTAGCTGTTGATTCGTTGGCCTATTTTGAAGTACATTTTGCTCCATATTTTGCTTTGTACTGTAGACTTCCCACGAATCCTCGCTATGGTTGCTTAGTCACTCGATATCGTAGTTGATTTGCTCGTGTTTGTGCACTAGGCTGTGCAATTGGAGTTGAGCGTAGATGAGATGACAGTAGAGCCGAACGGTGGTGGTATGATGATGACAGGATCTCTCGAGCAAGAGACTTAAAAGGAGGCGTGGGTTTGCTGACATGACCAAGGGCCACGCAGCAAGTCTACGAGCGCGGCAACGCTGTGCTGTTGTGCAGCCGCGCGAGTAGTTTCATAGCTTGAGTATCGGAGCAGCAGGCTCCATTGCTTTAGAGACCGCTGTAGCAACGCGAGATTCCTCAGCTTCGAAAGTTGATATTTTTTCAGGTGGCGTACCCAGCTTGGCTAGTGTTAGCGGTTGCGTGAGGAAAATGGAGTCTCTGTGTTTTACACGTGATAATGCTACGTACGCGAAAGACACAGTAGGAATAGAACTGCTATGAAATACGACGTTATCGCACGTCAAGCCTTGCACCGTATGGATTGTCATTGCATACGCAAGTCGTAACAGAGCTCCTCTACGAACAACTCGCAGGTCACTATTTTTCTTACCCCAACTAATTTCTCTGGGCACTATCGGTACAATATTAGGGACATCCTGCAAGAACGACGGACCAAGGTACAAGTCTGTCATCTTAACAAGAATAATTGGGAGATCACTGCCAGAAAAAATATTAGATCATAAATAATTCCGTTCGTCCCATTACAAGGTCCAGCTGATTGCTCGAGATTAACAGTTAATGTGACCGGAGCTCCAACACACAACATGAGCTTTGTTGCAACTACTCTATCTCGTCATTGTTTGGTGTTTTAGCTTCATCAATAAGAGCGGAAACAGTTCCTTCTGGAATATCACGCTTCTAACGAAGACGCTTTTGCTGTACGTGGTGCAATGCATTTATATAAGGTATGAATGCGTACTACACTGGACTGCGAACTACAGCCAGTTTATAGCAGATAAAAGCTTTTAGATCCGAGCACCCATGCGCACTAGGATCGTAGTACTTTGAGATCCGAGCGGATCCAAAACCTCACGCTGAGACTACATTGTTTTAGTTTAGATGACGTTTGATTGGCCCGCGACGATCACTGAGCATTTTTCAAGCATTCAACTGCGTCCAAGACATTCGACTTCTAGATTTCGCACCCATTGGTGACTTCAGAAGCTCAGAACTAAGTACTCAAG